CAACTAGGCACCCTACCAACTTAAGATATATTCTTCCTCCCCGAAACCCGTTCTTTGACAACTTGTTCTAAAAAAAAAAAAATCAAATAAATAAATGAACGAAAACGGTATTTGATGCATTCTAACTACATGCATGCTTGCTGGAGATGCTTCAGTTTTAGGTTACTTGATAAGAAAACTAGGACTCCAGCTGAGCACCAGATGCATTGAAACACAATCTCCAAGCATCATTCTAACACAAAACTCAAAGTGCAGACGTTGCTACCTAAGCTCGAGCTAGTCATTTTCAAAATCCAATAAATATATAAAGAATGTATGATAACTAAACCACTCACCAGTAGCCAAGCCAACCACTGAACCAACTAAATTTTACTATTTCTTTTTGCATGTATGATAATCATTAAACAAATTTCAGCTCTAGAAGAACACTAGATCTACGTTTCAGTGTGGAGCTTGTTACAGATGAAGTGAACATAAACAATGATTCAGGAATCTGGTTCCAAAGCAAAACTGTTTCAGTGAGGGATGTGTGGCTGAAACTGGTACAATACATCCACTCCTGCATCTCTTTCTCCTGTACAGTTAAGGGAAAGGAATAGACTACAGTTTTCCACAGTTTGTTTCTTAACCATTCATTTACCTTGGCTGAGCGGGAATTGCTTTCAATGATCTTTAATTGTTCTTTGGTGTGTGTTTCGTCGTGTCCATATAATAACATTCTTGGCCTTAGCAATCGAGGTTAAGATACAAGTCAAAATGAAGACTGCAAAGAGTGAGAGTGTTGTTGGGGAATCTGGCTTGTTACATCTCCACAATGGTGTTAACATATCCACATTAACTGATGCAAACCTTTCTTGAGACTGCTTTTGCCTGCAAATGAGGGTAAAATGGAATGAGGTGGATGAACAGGAGAATAGAAAAGGAGGTTATCTAGATGAAGACAGGACAAATGAATGTCAAATTCAAGACAATTTTATAGTTTTAGCAATGATCGAAGCGTATTTTAAGACCAATTCCAAAAAGTAAATCTGAATTCCACTTTCAAGCATACTGGCTTATCAATACAAGATTGGTCAAAGCCTTGGAACAAAACTAACCTTTTGGCTAGCTCAAACCATGAAATGAATGTAGAACTAAAGACAACCATGACAGTTGACGATTTAGTATGATGATCTAATAAATACTAAAAGAAGCCCTCAACAGTGAAGACCAAATTGTGGAATATTCCCCAGAGAAAATTAGTTCAGTTGGATGCACATTTCTTCTTTAAAAGAGTTTCATAAGGTTTTAGAATTTCAAATTTTCAAATCCTACAGTAGGTTGAGCTGTATCATTCTTGCATTTTCTATTCATAAACAAAAGCCAAATTGGATAAAGTCAACTAGACCTCTTCCTGGCACATATATGATATGCATTGTTAACATGTCTTATTTCCCGTGTGAAACTAAAAGTTAATAAATGCACATAACGTAACTCCAGACTTCCAAATGATAAAACTAGAAACTCTGGCTGTGTCAATCACAAGTCATTCCTTCAATTGCAAAAGGTAGGAAGCCTGGGTCTTCCATTCTTTTCTTGTTCAATATCTTGGCATTTTATGCTTTGCTATCAAATTGTGGAGAACTAAAGATCATGTTACTCTAAATCCAACATAACATGAATCCTAATGAAGGCATCAAACTCATCTTACTCAACAAAAACACAAACTCATCACTTGTGTGAAGAATAATCCTTGTTCTCCCAACTAGAAGCTGTATGAAATAAAAAGCAAAACATATATTGAAAAGTTGTCACTTAAATAATACCCCAAGAAGGTCTTGATTGAGTTCCACAAAGATGTCACATGCTTAATCCCTCTTCTTGAAGCACTGTCACCAGTCCCTGCAAGGGTATAAAATCAAGATTCATAAATCAAGAACCATCTGATCCAAAAGCTTAATCTTACAACTACACAAATGCTTGCTCAAATTTAACTATAGTAGTGGAGATCCCAAGACTAGAACTTAAGATACCAATAACTGAAGCCTTTTGTTTTAGTAGTGGTTTTCAAGAAAAATGAAAAACAGTGTCAATACCAGTAGAAGAATGACTTCTGCTGGATGCCTTGAGTGAAGCCAACTCCTCAATGAGGGCACGTTCTCTGTCACTGTCATCATTAAAGAAACTTCTCAGAAAAACAGCATTTTTAAAGGAAATCAAAAACAAATATTTTTAAACAAATCCTATAGCAAACCCTAAATTTCCAAAAGAAAAGAGAACATTTTGCCTATCCATTTCTTTATTAATATATATATATATATATAAAGAAATGCTTTACTTAGCATTTCCTCCCCTAAAAATATAGAAAATAAAAAATTGAAACCAGACATGGCTTTACTGCATTCGTTATGGAAAATAAAATGATTTATTACTAAGAATATATAATATCAAATTTTCAATTAAAACAAAGCAAGGCTAATTAAATGCAATATCCAACAAAGTGCCAAATATTGCTCTTGGTTTGGTATTTCATAAACAAGTTCTCATGCTTTGGTCCTTCAATTTTCCTTGGCTAGAGTTAAATTCAAGAGGCTTTGCCCTTGCTTTGCGAGAACCATGTTTTGGCTATTGATGCAAATGCTGAACGGATCCTCATACCTGAGGCCATTTGCAACATCTAAGGTATGCCCAAACCAAGCTTTTCCAAGCAGTAATGTTTGTTAAATATTAACTTCGAGGGTAAAAAAATTTACTCCACATAATCATAATTCACAAAGATCTAAATAACAAGATTAACAACTCATCCAGCGTAACAAATTTATTTAAGAGGCCCTGACAAGCTAAACTACAGAAGTGAAAAAGTCTAAAGAACTCTATGGTACCAGAGCTCTACCTGACATGTTTTGGGATCACAATGTTCACAATAAAGTTATGATCACCCCGAACAGAAGGTTTGTTTATATCTGGAACCCCCATTCGTGACAATTTTACTTTCTCTCCAGTTTGAATCCCAGAAGGAATCCAAAGATCTTTCATGCCTTCAACAGTTTCTACCTGAGACAATTTAGAACAATTGAGTCAAAACAACCTATTTATGAGAGAGTGATGTGTTTCTTAATAGAAGAAAGTTAAAGTATTTATGTCAGTTCAACTAAAAATACCATGTTACTTCAGCTACTAAAGCCAAACTTAGGGTATTATGTAATACTTTTTAAACCAAAAGTTGTACCTTTGATTAGCCTTAACCACAAGCAGGCCAAACGTAATTGACTTTATACACCTTTTACTCACAGGTTAGGAGATAAAATAAGTTTGAAGATCAGGGTTAAGAGTGTTTGAAGTTAGTGACCAATGTGTTGAATGCTAAAACATTATTCATCTATACTTTTAGCTTATTCATTGAAGAAATTCCTTTCCCTGTTAGTTATAAACTTTTTCATAGCTATCATGGTGGTAGAAAGAAGAGAAGAATGAGAGAAATGGTTAGACTGAGAGGATCATTACCTCATTTTGTTTGCTGTAGTATACGTGAAATACAGGAGTCAAGGAACAACTTTACAACTACCAAGTTACGCTTAATCATTAGTTGAGCTTAAGTCCAAATACAAATCATCAATAAATAGGGTACCAAATTAGTAACATAATATCTTCAATAACATTGACCCTTTAAAAATAAATAATAAAAGAAATATTCTGACAATAAGTTTTAGTTTATTTTTTATTACTACTTTCATATCCTTCATGGTGGTCATTTCTTTTTGTGTCCTCTTTCCCCTCTTTCTTCCCTTGTTTTCATTTTCCCCTGTATTCTGTTTTTCACTTTCCTTTTTTCCTTTTTCAGGTTATTAACTGACAAACCTGATGACCACTTGCTGGTGCTGCAGATTTAGTACCAACAACTAGATCTGCTAAAGACAAACCTGATGACCACTTGCTAGTGCTCCAGATTTTGTACAAACAACTAGATCTGCTAAAGAAGCATAGTTTCACCTTTATTTTATTTTATTAAGATTCTCACTTGCTTTTACCGTGATAAAACTATGCAGCAGAATGACTTATATGCTGCCAAGCTGGAACAAATAATTGATACATCGCATATAAGAGAGGTAAAGGAAGAATGACCTAGACTGATCAAAATAACCACTATTAGCTGCAGTTTCTTCTATGTCAACATTTTGATCGCTGATAAATTCATTACTAATACATGGTAACATGAACTCACACACAGATGTTAATGCTGTAGACACCTAAACAGTGCAACCACAAACACAAAAGCATGGTCATTAGGAATGAAATCCTACAATGTGATGTAATGACATCATTTATCCAGGTTGGCAGAAGAAAAATAGAATAACAGACCAATCATGTGAAACAGATCTGATAATAGTTACATGCACAATGGTTGATAAAAACAAAGATTTAGGTTCATAGAAAATTAAGAGACTACCTTCAACACAGTCCCCAGTATTGCCTCAGTGTAATCAATATTAATCTTAGAGTAAAGGTTAAGACCATCTCTCCAAATTCCCTCTTTTTCATCTATGTGGAGGAATATGAATAAGTCACCTGCTAAGCCCCTGAAAAATAAAATAGATAAAATAGGAATCATATGATGCATGTCTGTCTAGTGTCTAACCAGCAATCAACATCCAAATCAAACTGTCTAACACAAGAAATAAAGGACAAGGGGGAAGGGATATCAAATATGGAATAAGGAGAAGATGGTAGCATGCAAAATCAGGAACTGACATGCGTCTTTTGTAACTGTAAAGATACTCATTCAGAAGAATTGACAAAAGCTAACACTTGGGACCAAGATTATTGAGTATCTTTTAGTCATTCGGATACTAACTTGATAACCAACATATGGCAAGGTTAAAACAAAAGAAGAAACTAAACCGTCAATGCTAAAGAAACAAAAGAAGAGACTAAACTATTAATGTTTAAAGAAATAAAGCCTCACATGACAGAGTCAAGTAAAGCCAGCATTCCTAAATTTAAGAAATACTTTGTTTTCATATTTTCTTTTTCACTCCCCACCATCTTGTTACCTATGATATTACTTCATAATTAATTCCTACCCTCATCACAACCAGAAAGAATCAAAGCAAAAATCTAGAGTCCACTAGCTGAACTCAAATATCCAAATGCAAAGATCATCTTAGTTACATACCTTTTCTTATCAAAGCTGCCCTCTCCTGCAATTCGCATTCTGGCACCATCACTACACCCCGGTGGAACGGCGATTTCCAAGTTGCGCTTCAATCGTACTTTACCATTGCCTCTACATCTTCGACAGCGATCAGTGATTATCTTGCCATTACCACGACATTTTGAGCAAGTAGATACCTAGAGAACATATGGTGTCATCTATAGAGCATATGTCAAAGATGTGAAGTGAATTTCTAAAATAATGACTAGCCTGTTAGTCAACTAATCTAACTAGACGTATCTGATCCAATAATTGATAACTGATTTAAATTAGCTTGATACAGTTATTAATAATACAGAATATACAGTGTCAGACTGCCAGTATTAAATATGTATGACCAAAAATCATGACTTATACTACCTCCTCAACTTTTTCCTACTTATCCTTGATATGTCTTGAAGCAAATTCTAACCTAGAGATCATTAGTTCCAATTTAGGAAGAAATGACTGCATTTCCAGCTCTTGAGAGCACCCTTTTACCATGTAATATATACCCTGCAGACTAAAACTATCTATCCATTAATCTATGATGTGAACCTAAGAAATGCAGACAACAATTGATTGGAGGTAATCAAATAACATTATAGAAAAATGTCATTGTTTTGAGATAAACTAGTTTTTAAACTAAGTTCTTAGAGAAAAGAAGTAGATGTGACAATAAAAGTTACTATCTTTTAAAAGGCAATGCAACTTTGATGATGGTAGTACCAATGGAAGTGTAGTTATATTTTTCTTGGGTATTGGTGTTGCTGCTCAAGAATTGATGATTGTGCAATGGTGATTGTTGCTGCTAAAACAACAATAGTTTTTGAACAAATCACAGTTCAATCTTCAATCACTATATTGTTCTGAGTACATTAAACTACCTGTGACACCATTCCAAATGGTGTCCTCTCAGTATTCATAATCACTCCTCTACACCCACAATCACCACATGGTTTCAGGCAACTGCTGGATTTAGCACCAGTTCCACTGCAATCATCACATGTTTCAAACCGGAAGACCTCAATTTCATGCTGTCCTCCAAAAATAGATTCTTCAAAACTTAAATGAAGGTCATACCTAAAACATAAAGAAACTAAAAACTTAGAAAATGAAAATACTATGATTAGAAGAATAGTTCACTAGCAAATGAAACAAGAAACAAAATTTTCAAAAATCCATCTCCTTTTACTTCTCAATAATAAATTAAATTTTCGTGATTAAATTAAATCAATATCTCCTTCACCTCTGCCTGCATGGCATTAATAGATCTGCCACATTTAATAATATTATCTTTTGCTGATCAAAAAAAAAAGATCTGGCATATAAGAGGATATAAAATAAAACCTTTCTCTCTAGCAGCATGATTATACCACATAACATATTTGATGAAAAGTAATTATCAAAACAAACATAGAACAGAAATGAAGATGAGCTAAGTTAAAAGGAGACCTTTAAAAACACAGTTTTAACAACTTATTGTACTTCCCTGAAAAATCAGTAGTGAAATGCATTGAATGAAAAATTCTTCATATTTATAACAAGTTCAATAAACATTTAATGAAAATATCAAATGCCAATTTCTAGGATCCCATTACTAAAAATTACAGAACCTCAAAAAACATTACAGTTAAAGACTGAAACTAGTTATAAAATGATATTCTTTGATATCAGTTCAATTGAATAATTAAGGAAAAAGGATTTCAAGGTAGTAGGTAACACCAAGTAACACTCCAAATTTAGGCAGTACTTTACCTTTTGTGGACTCAAATTTAGGGAAAAATTGTTTTTCAGTTCCTTTGTTTAACAATACATTAAACTCGATGAGCTTGCCATGCCATGATAAGTGTTTTTAGGGGCACTAGGGCTTGTAGCCCAGTTGGTAAGGTACATGTTTCCCCTATCTAAAGAGATATATCCGAATCTCCCTTTCCAGCAATATAAAAAGAGAAGAAAAATGTAGAGGAAAGCATTCTTAGATCAGAAAACCCTTATTTCACAACAGATAATCAATATTGTTTCTACATCAATATTAAGTACACAGCAGGTTAGAGAAATTTTTTAACATTAAAGAACAACCATATGGATGCACAATTTCATCAAAATCTATAAAAATGGCAAGTATTCAAAGATAAATAGCAATACTTCAACTGGTGCACAATTACCGAATATCAAGACGTGGATTTTCCATGTTTCTGAAATTGAAGTTAAAGCTTCCTGGATCACCCATTCCTCCAAAGAGCCCATCTGAACCGCCAAAGAATGTATTATACAATTCAAAAGGATCAACCTAAAGATTAAAGAAAAAAAAAAAAGAGGATAAAAGAAGGATAAACTTAAAGATACGAATAATTATGAAAATCATGCATCAGAAAATAATTCATATGAGCATTGCAACAGACACAAGAGTTGAATGTGATCTTACCCCTCGTTGAGAACTGCCCAATCCATCATATTCTTGCTGTAAACCTGCCTCACCAAAGTGATCATATAAAGATCTTTTCTCATCATCTGATAGAACCTACATAAATGCCTCATTACCACATAGAAGAAAAAGAACCAGAAGATAATGCAGTTGCAATACAAATTACTGAAATCATAGAATATTAAGTGTTTGATCTATCATTTAATGAGAAAGATTTGACACAGAAAAATTAATACAGACATAACAACTAAATAAATTGATTTAATGAATTTGCAGTATCACTGCATCAGAATATCAAAAGATTATGAATAATGAAAACCAAGCACTGCAATTTAAATGTTTATAGAAAAAGGAAAAGACTGTTACAGAATAAGAAAATGAGAAGAATGGCAGACAACAAAGAAAATATTCGAACCAATGCAGTTACCTCATATGCAGCGCTTATCTCTTTGAACTTGTCTTCTGCTCCAGGACTCTTGTTCACATCTGGATGATACTGTTTCAGAAAGTAATGCATCCATTTTTTAGTCAGACATAACTTACAGAATCATTGCATGAATTTGTATGCTAGCACTATCAAAATGTAGATAACCTGTGTCCCATGATCACACATCATATTCATACAACTCATACATTTTCAAATAGTTCCCAATGAAAGCAATCATAAAAAGGGGTTTCCAAAACTTTAGTGTTACATCTACAAGAAATCACAAACAACAGTAACAATTAATGCCCCATGTACCATCTGGAGGTTAGTTATGCATAGACAATTTGTTTCAGACAATCCTAACAACCTCTTACTCAAGTGTCAAAAAAACTGTTTTCAAAGACAACCATGGTTGTTTGTTCTCCATAGGATTATTCAATTTCAAATGATAAAAGAAACGGACATTTCCCAAAAAAACTAGAGAAGAAGAAAAATGTCACTAAATTCTTTGAAAACCAACACCAGGAGATTTGGGAATCAGAGAAAGAGTCCAAAGGCTTCAAATTTCCTCAATACCCAACATTGTCCCAACATTTCTCAAACAACAGAACTGAAATTTGAAGGAAAATAAATAAGAAAGCTACTAACTTTACGAGCTAGCTTCCTGTAAGACGCCTTTATCTCTTGCAAAGTGGCATTACGGCTGACATTCAAGGTGGAATAGTAATCAGTAGCAGCAGCCCTGAGTACGCCACCTCGACGGTGACGGCTTTTCCAATTAGTGGTGTGATGAGTGGGGATTGAAATCCGACCATTTTTAGACAAGAGTTGAGGATCACTCCAACTCAAACTCAGACCAAATCCCAAGTTTCGGATACTGGACAGTGAATTGGGTCCAACCCTTAAGTTATGCATTGGCAGATTTGGATTGGGATAGCCGCAACTGACGGTTATGGGCATTTTCCCTTTTGGCACAAAATTTAGATATACAGAGGGAAGATGAGTTGAAAGGGATTTTGGCAGGCTTGGATGGAAACAGGGGCTGTTTAAAAGAAGAACTGAACAAGGAAAGAAAAAAAAAAAAAATTTAGACCATGCGTGCTAATCAGAGTAGGAGGAGTCTTATTC